ATGTACGTGTTGTTTTATTTTTGTACACTGTTTTGTTTATTTAAGAATTTATATATTTTTATTTTTGTACACCTTTTTTTAGGCCCTTTCCCTCCCGAATAAATATAGTCTGTAGGTGTTAGATCGGGATATTCAAATATCTTTCAAAGAAACGCTTTCAGTTTTGCATGTGAGCATTTGAGGTTGACCCTGATGTGCTGATCTAACGCCTGGTGCTGTTCTTTCGTTTTGGTTTATTTATTTGACTATGGTAAAGCACTCGAGGACCATCTGCCTAAGGAAAGGAATGCCGTCGTGGAGGACTTTTTAAGGAAAACTGGCTTGTAATCACCTTATACATGGGAAAACCACGAAAATGCCTATGCAGCCAGCCTTTTCGCCCGGAATCGAACTCAGGTCGAACCAGCGTTCAGCGCCTGTACCGCTCGGACGCTGCTGGGAGCCCTTTTTCTTTCTTTCGAGCTGGCCCACCAGCGGCCGAGCGATAACGTCGCTTAACACTGGTAATTCAGTCTGAGGTTCGAATCCCGCGAACGGGCTGGCTGCATGGATGTTTTCGTGGTTTTCCCCATGTGTAAACGTGTATACGAGCCAGTTTCCTTTAAAAAGTCCTCCACGAAGGCATCCCTCCCTTAAGGCAGATAGCCCTCGAGTTCTTTGGTGTAATCTAATAAACCAAACCGTTCTTTCGAGCTTGTTGAAAGGCGGAGCATTAAAAAGTGATTCTTGTTACACTAGTACTGTTCAGAAATGCTTTGTATTCCATGAGATTTAAGCGATCGCTTCAAGTAGTTAATGTACACGCTTGGAAAAAGTAATTGCAGAATTCGGAGAAACGCATTCACGTTTGTCTGGGAATGATGGGTAAGGCTGCATGGACGTTTCTTTGGTTTTCGTATGTGTAACATGGGTACGAGCCAGTTTGCTTCAGCCCTTCGCGAAGTTGTCCTCCCCTTAGCCTGGTAACCGTTAGCGTGTTTTGCCATAATCAAAGAAACCAGAAAGAAACCAGAACCAGAAAGAAAATGAAAATCAGAATTAATTAAAATTTTAAATTATGATTCGTATGATTTCTGAAATATGCCATTTCCCGAAGTTACATAATGTTTCAACATAATGCACCGTATTGCTGAACAATGCTGACAAACAATATTGATGTCCAAGACTCGATCCATATGTAAAAACGCTACGATATCCATATGTAAAAACGCTAAAGAGAGTCTACGTACACTGCTGGGGGGGGGGGAAGGACCGTTCTGTATCTCCCGTTCTACTGGGCCGATTGACGAAATTCAAATTGCGTTTTTTATTTCTCGAAAGCGCGACTTAGGATATATATCAATATAGCTTTGTTCTGATATTGGTATATTGATACAAAATCGGACGTTTTCGGAAATAACATGCCAGTTTTTTCCGTATTTTGTTTCTACGACTCAAATTATTCCTAAATATTAAATTTTGTAAAATTTGGTTCGAAATTTACGGAAAAATTCAAAACTTTATCTTGGCGCAATATTTCCAGTTTGCGCCACGAATAATTCACTTGGGGAATTTCTTAATTTATTGCAACCTATTTTCCTTTCCCTTTTTACCTTGTGCATGAGAGGGGGAAAAGTTGTATATCGTCGGAAATTTTGAATTAAAAGCTCAATTTTTTTGCAGGTATGCTTAGGAATACATCTACTTTAAGATGGTGGTAAAAATTGTATATTTTATAATTCAAATTGTTTTCGAAAAATTAAAAAAAAATAAATCATAAAAAATGGGTGAATTTCGAACTGTGAAAGAAGGAATCAAGTAAGTGTAATAAAAAAAGAGAGATTAATAAATATATACCAAATTTCTTTAACATTGAGGAGCTAAAATTTTGAGAGCTAATTAAAAAAAAATTAAAAAAATAACTACTTATGCGATTTTTACAGAACTTGGCAGTTTGGCATAATTTGAGTCGTAGAATCGGAATATGGAAAAAAATATGGCATGTCATTTCAAAAAAAGTCCTATTTTATGTCAAAATACCTACATTAGAACAATGCTACGTATAAATGTAATACATATACTAAGTCACGCTTGTTAGATATGAAAAACGCAATTTGAATTTCGTCTATCGCGCCAATAGAACAGAAGATATAGAACTGTCCTTTTTCTTTCTTTCTTCTTCTTCTTCTTCTTCTTCTTCTTTTTTTTTTTTTTTTACGTAGTGTTTATATAATGCATAGAAAAACTCCTTCCAACTGTTAACGCAAGTTAAATGGTTACTTGTTAAACGATCTAAATTTGATTGATTTGTGAATCTAATTTTTAACTAGAAAAGCATATAATATAATGTTTATGTTGGTTGTGTTACTGCTTTTGTTTCTGATTCGCGAAAGTAATGTTAAGTCCTAGGCCCCGTTTCACAAACGCGCCAATACCGCAAATTTTGTCTTCCGACTCTATGATAAAATTATTGCCGTAGTATTTAGGAGATAATTTTCACTATTTTGATAATTCCTGTTTTAAAGGAGGAAGATTGGATAGGACGCATTTTTAAGTTTCTTGCATCCTTATGCAAGCCGGCTCTATTCGAAAAGACAGAAATCTTCGTAATCGTGCTCCGGCACAAGAGAGTGCGCAAAAACTGGAGATAAGTTTAGCTTGAAAAAAAGCAAACTGCACCCTTATGCAAGTCTGATTTTTGTTCCAATTAGTTTATTAGTTAAGTATGGGTTGAAGTAAATCTTCGTTACCTTTATAAAAAACATACTTTGCCTGAGGGTGTCCTCCTCGCCCTTATGTTTTCATGAACCACGATAACTTTTCAGGTTGTGCGTCACTTCAAAAGGGGACTCTGGTATTTCGATAAATTAAAACTTATTTTTATCAAAATGACAAACTACTATGCACAAAAGGGGTAGAATATACTCATTATTATTATTACTAATATTTCTTACGTAATCTTTTTTTGAGGGATCCCTTATGAATACAGACCGTAAATTGATTAAAATATTTTGTATTAAATCTTCAGTATGCGTTCGGTCTAATAGTTATAATGTCTAATAAGTCGCCTATTGGATTTTCTTTCGACTGTTAGTGTACATGTTTATTTCAAATATACGCGAGCATTTTTGACAAGTAGTAACGGAATGTATCGTATCACCTTACCGTGGCTTTACCTTTTTCTCTTTTCTAGTGTTTCCTAAATTTTTTAGCGTTGCTTTGTTCTGTGGTTTTTTTTCCCCCTTTCTTAAGCGGTACTCGATGATATCGTGATTTGCCATTTCTTTTAATATGAATGATCCCTTGACCTTTCTTCAGGCAATTCAGTTTTATTTTCTTTTATTCCTGCATTCTGTTTATAGGTCCTGATTTTCTGCATAGCTCTTGAGTCGATTTCCGTATTTAGTTATCGAAAACTCGATTTCGAGTGTTTTATTTATTATTAGTTAGTGTTTTGAAAGCGTGAAAATAATTCTGCGTACAACCTTCGAATTTTTGCTTGTTTTTTTCCCATTCAATTTACTTTCAGACATCCAGACAAAAATATTTTCTTAACATCGAAATTGCGGATACTAAACATATTGAAATTTAAATATCTTATTAAAAATACTGTTATATGACTTATAGTAATTATTAATTGAATTAATCAGTGAAAATCGGACTTGCTTAAGGTTGGGTATATCCTTATAAAAAATGTCGGTTTGACATAAGGATGCCGACGATCAGTTTCAAGTTAGAAAGCTGTAACATTTCTATCTTTTCGAACGCTGCCCAACTTGCGTATGAGTGTCACAGCGTTATGACGTGGCATTGTCATGGAGCGGTTCCGAATGGATTATTTACATTATGGCAATGCTAGTGAGGGCTGTCCGTCTAAGAGAAGGGATGTCTTTGTGGAAGATATTTTAAGGGGAAATTTGTTTGTATTCACATGGGGAAAAGCAGCCACCTTATTCGCCTGGATTCGAACCTGAGACTATCGCTTGGTCGTTGGTGGAAGAGAACGAAGGATTGGCATTTTAATCCAAAAAATTCAAGCTGTAATAAGGAACAGTTTTATATTATGCAGAGTTAAGTAAGTTTGACGTGTGGTAATAAAAATTTTGATCGATTTTGAAAAAGTTGCCAAAATTTGGGTTGTACAAACTTGTTCATCAGCGGCTGAATGGCTAACATCGCTCAACACTGCTACCCGGGTATGAATTCTGACTTATGAACCGACTGCATGGGGTTTTTCCTGATACGTAATAACTACTTTCATTTAGAAAGCCCTCTGCGATAGCAGCCCGTCTGTTAGGGAAGTAGTCCCATTCTGCTTAAGTATAATCAAATAAATCGAAATCGGAACAAACTTTATTTGAAACTTCAATCTTCTTATTTATTTATTTAGTTGTTCAAAGCTCGAAATTAGTTTGCTTGTAAAGCAAAGGTATTTGAGCACAATTCAGCAATAAATAGCCAGGAGGGGACAGAGCAGAAATCCGTAATTGAGCTTGGAAACAAAATTACTGTACGAAATTCATTAGTCAGAGTAAATACATTTCTTTTATAGAAGGCTCTATATAAGAAGGTCAAAAATTAATTTTAAGATTTGACCCAGACGATGAAACTGTTGAACAGAATTAAATAAAATTCTGTAGGAATCTTATGATTAGCTGTTGAAGTATGACGATCTTTTCACGATTACGATGACATGACGATTTTATGTCTCTTAACAGATGTAGACGTCTCGCTGCGTGGTAATTGATGTTGAAATTTCGAAGAAGTTGACACACCCGATATTGGGATATGCGCTGTGATCGTCTCGTTGTCAGCAAGGAGTTTTCGCCTGTGTGTTCTGTGAAGTGAAACAGGTGTTGCTATGGGCGATTTCACCGTTGCTACAGCAACCTCTTTCTGCTGGGATTTCTCACGGATAAGCGAAGAGCGCCTCGATAAACAAACATCCCCATCTGTGACAGAATGCCCTTCCTTGCCTTACCGGCTTCGCTTCTCTCCAGGTGTTGGATTTTTTGACAACTTGCTAGATGTTAATGGAAGTTGATGCAGTGCAGGCTTGATTGGCTAGTAATTTAATTGCGACCCGTATATTTGCAATGATTTTCGCGAATTGAAGATAAATTTTTAACAACTCGAAGCGCACGGACGTTTTTCTTTCAGTTTCTGTAGCATTTGTTTCTCATTTGATATAAACAGGCTTTAATGCCAATCGACGATGAATAAGGTATTTATCTACGCATTACAAAAGTGCATTGCTAAATTTAGTGTTAAGTTAATGAATGATATAAAAATCATTATATACCGACTTCTAAATTATATTTAACAATAGCTGCTGTTGTATGGCATTTGTTTCATAAATGAAACAATTTCGAATGCGCTAGAATAGGTGCATTGTAAAATTTCTAACTTGTGGATGCTGTTGTCCGCAACCAGAATAAAATGTAATGATGATGATGATTATGAAGTTTTGTAGTAAAATAGAGTTTGCAAGCATATATGTACATCAATTGTATTCAAATAGTAAAATACTCTTTAAATTATTTTCATGCTTTTCTTTCTATAATGTTTTGCATTCTTAAACAAAGTGCTGAAACAAATGCTGGAGTTTATTGTATCTTTTTTTTTTTTAAATTGAGATTGTTGCCAGCAGTGGATAGTATTGTTATTAAGAAGAAAAACAAAATATTTTTGTCATTTTCCATGTTAAAATATGTTTATATATTTAAAATTTTAATGGTTAATTTGGGATGTTACTGCAGTTATTCTGCCAGGAGTATTTTCTTCTCCATTGTAAACATAGGACCAATTACTTTTTCTTTATCATAACATCTTATTTTAGTTTGACATATCAACATTTGTAACTACATAAATGTAAAAATTAATAAATTATGAAATCTTATTTCATCTTCAACCTTGTTTTCTTCCAAGTTCTTTGTAACAGAGGGTTAAATTGCTGTTTGGATTGCAACCCATAAAAACGTTTTTTTTGGGGGGGGAGGGGGAATGAAAAAAGTTATTGCAAATAATCTTAAATTTTATTCATTTCATAAATATAGAACAAAATTTTCTGAGTGCTACAGCTCATTTTAAGAAAGGAAGGTGAGAACTTTTAAAAAAATTAAAAAAAAAAAAAAAAAAAAAAAGTGAGAGATACGGAATTTTTCACAATTTAACAAGTTCAAATGAAATATAAAATCGGTAAGGACTTAGCTTGGTATAAATTTTAGAGAACTTTTAAAAAATTTAAAAAGAAAAAAAAAGAGATCCGGAATTTTTCACTATTTAACAAGTTCAAATGATATATAAAATTGGTAAGGACTTAGCTTGGTATAAATTTTAGCATTGATTTAATACCAACTGTAAATTGGCATATAAAACTGTTACCGATTTTGAAGGCTACTCACGTACTACTTCTTCAGAAGCAAATACGTTTTCTAGTGAGGGCACAGAAAATAGCAAAATATTAGTAGTTGTCATATCTAAAGAAGAAATCAATGAATTATCAGTGTTCTTCTTTAGATCAATCAACTATCAGTGTTCTTCTTTAGATCAATCAACTATCAGTGTTCAATCAATCAACTATCAGTGTTCAGCAATGTTAACCATTCAGCCACTGATGAGCAAGTTTGTATCAAATCTCTTCCATAATCAATGAAATTTTGGCGACCTTTTTCAAAAATCAGTCAAACTTTCATTATCTCATATCAAAAAACTGCTGTTTATTACAGCTTCAAATTTTGGAGAATGGTTATATCTATAAAATCAATGTATAAATGAAAAAAGTCCCATTTATTTTAAGATGTAAAAAATGGTAGAGGATAATAGTGATTGTGGATATCTTCTGTAGAAAAAAAATTTACCAGTTAAAGAAAAAAAAATTTTTTTTTTATAATTGTTGCAAACATAATGAAAAATTATGATTAAGAAAAAGGCCGACTATAATAATTAGTTGAAGATTTTTTTTTTTTCCTTTAAAAAAAAAACAATCTAGAATTTATATCTTCGATACAAAATTTTAATGCTCTCTTTTCCAAGAATTAAAATCAGAGGTACGATAGTTTAGGATCAAACTATGAATTTTAATTGTGTGCGCGCGTGTGTGTGTGTGTGGGGGGGGGGTAATACAATCTGTAAGTTGAACTCGCAAAGAATTATGATTTCTTGTAACACTAATATTGGGTTAATAACTAAGTGATTGCTGATTTTAAATAAGAAGGGAAATTCAAAATTTTTACTTAAAAATATAGCTTTATTAAATAGGTATTATTCATTAATTTAGAAGTCAAACAACAAAAATCAGCATTATATTTTCAAATTTTCATAGGACTAGTTTCGATGGTTTTACTGAGCCATCATCCTCAGCTGCAAAAGCGCAAATGAACCAGATAAAATATAATGATTAGATAAGATAAGAAAACCTGCACAGGAGATCAGCCACTGGCGTCATCTGTTGATGAAACCAGAACTAAAACATAATTTTTTAAAGGCTGAAGGCAAAGATGGATTGGAATTAGGGTCGTTAACTAGAACAGAAAGATTTTTTTGAATGTGAATGCCTCTAGAAAATCCAGTTCACCAATGGAAGATGTTTTTTGAATAATTTTGGCAGCAGAAAAATTGAAAGTGTGATTTTTGGATAAAAAATGTTGGGGAACAGAAGACTTCTGTGTTTCCTATGCCAATGATTTAAAAATTTCGGAGTGCCTATGGTTCAAAACCATTTACCTCCACATCAGAGTTACTAAAAGCGAGCAGAAATTGGAAAAATTTGGCATAAGTGATTTACTTGATGCTCAATAGAGGGAGCCACAGGCTCGAGAAAGTTTAGGGATAGAGATGAGAATATAAAAACTTAAGTATCATAATTTTTTTGTAAGTTTTTAGGTTTTTAAAATTTTTTTTGTATTTTATATTTTATACTTTTTTTGGTTTTTTTTATTAATTTTTATACACAGTACAAAACACTAAAGCAAAAAAGCGGATAGGAAAGAGTTTACGATTAATAGCTCATTGCATGTGGCTTGTGTTGGAGAGTGCAAATAATTAATGGATCGCGATGAAAATATTCTTAGGCAGATTTAAAATCTGGGGAGATTGTGATTCTTAAGTAAACAGATTGATAACTTTGCTTGGAGATCTTGATTGCAGTAGAAAAAGATGGAATAAGCAATTATATGGCAGCTCGCTGAAGAGACTTCTGTGTTTCCTTTTTTCCTAACATATGCCTCATGTTCCTTAACGCGAAATTTTAAGGCTCTCTTAGTTTTCCCAATGTAAATTAAGCCACACTGGCAAAGAATCCTGGGATATGAATTCCTGGGGTTTTCTAGAGTAATTCTGGATTTTCTAGAGGCATTTCACATTCAAAAAAATATTTCTTTTCTAGTTAATGACCCTAATTCCAATCCATCTTTTCCTTCAGCCTTTAAAGAAATTATGTTTTAGTTCTGGTTTCATCAACAGATGGCGCCAGTGGCTGATCTCCTGTCCAGGCTTTCTTATCTTATTTTTGTTCATTTGCACTTTTGCAGTTGAGGATGATGGTTCAGTAAAACCAATCGAAACCAATCCTGTGAAAATTTGAAAATATAACGCTGATTTTTATTGTTTGACTTCTAAATTAATATTTGTTTGCCGTGTTATTGTATCTCAATTAAGGTATTATTCATTTTTGTTGAAGACCTTTTGCCATCTTTCAGGCAGTGTCATAATTCCATGTCTATAAAACTTCTGACTTTTGTGTGCAAAAAACTGAATTAAATGAAAATTTACATCATCAGCATCATAAAAAATTTTACACCTTAAGGAATTCTGCATGGCATGAAATAAATGAAAATCTAAAGATGTAAGATCATTGTTATATGGTGGACAACATATCCAATTTAGCTCTAATAATTTTTGATGAGCTACCAAAGATGATTGGGGCTTTCTTTGCATTATTGTATTGGGTAACAACAGCCTTTGGATTTGCCAGTTCTGGCCACTTTTCTTGAGTTTCCGTCAATTTGATGAGTTGTTGAATGTAGACATATTAGAATTAACTGCATGGTTTCTTGGTAAAAGTTCAAAGTGCAGAATTCCTTTATAATCCCACGAAAGTGACAGCATAATCTTTTTTTGGTGAATCTCAGGTTTTGATGCTGTCTGAGTAGGTTCATCCTGCTTCACTCACGATCTTTTTTTTGATTACTATTCACTTTTCGTACTAGTAATCAGTTGTATTGAGTATCAGAAGTGAATTACTGATACAAATGCATTGTGTCAAAGGAATTTCTTTAAACTGATGAAGAACTCATAAATCGAGTTTCTTAAGCCATACTGTTTAAATTTGTTTTTTAGTGCATGCTTGTTTACGATGTATTGAGCTTTTCTGCAGTCTCATGTGTTGTGCTATGACAATTTGAACTGTTAATGATATTGATATGGTTCTCATAATCTTCAACTGGATGGCCAAATCAATATGCATTTTTGAGTACAAACACTAGAACAAAATTTGGCTAACCTGTTTTGAGACTGCCTTTCTTTCAAGTCTTCATTCCCATATATGGCACATAACTTTGTGTGTGCTTGCAATGCGTTCCTGACTTTTTATAAATAATGCAATAAAATATGTTTGAAATGCACGTTGGTGCTTTGACATATTTACAAAATATGTTCAAATATATATATATATATGCTAAAACCATTTATTGACAAAATCTGCAATCACTTAGTTGCCAAATCGATAGATGGGGAAAAAATTTCATGATTGTAAGATTTTTGTTTTTTTCTAATAAGAGAATGCAGTTAAAAATATTTACAGTACAAAGTCCGTAATCCGGACGGGCATTATCTGGAATGATCTATAATCCGGATCTCAAAGGCCACAGACTTTTTGGTATGCTTTACGCATGCGCTTAAAGAGTGCGAGCGCATATATTACGTGCATTACGCATGCATGCATTGAAAGAAATGTTTAATAAAGTAAACAAATAAATATTAAGCTTTTTTTTTGGTAAAATTTGATACCGTAATTGCTCTTTATTTCATAAATTACGGTTTCATATTTTTAATTGTATAATTTCTGCATGCCATCTAACCAGATTTAAATTGATGATCTATAATCAGGAAAAACCTTTAATTCGGAATCACCGAAGTCCCGACGAGTCCGGATAACGACTTCGTACAATAAATCAGGACTCAATAAATCAGGACTTTACTTGAAGTGCGTTGCATAAAATCTGA